AAGTAGCAAATAAGCAACCGAATAAGCCAATTAAAAATATTTCATTAAAAAAAGTATTTGAAGGTGGGTTAATCTACCTCTTTAGAGCAGCGGTTCTCAACCTGTGGGTCGAAACCCCTTTGGGGGTTGAACGACCCTTTCACAGGGGTCGCCTAAGACCATCGGAAAACACATATATAATTACATATTGTTTTTGTGATTAATCACTATGCTTTGATTATGTTCAATTTGTAACAATGAAAATACATCCTGCATATCAGATATTTACATTATGATTCATAACAGTAGCAAGATTACAGTTATGAAGTAGCAACGAGAATAATTTTATGGTTGGCGGTCACCACAACATGAGGTATTGTATTAAAGGGTCGCGGCATTAGGAAGGTTGAGAACCGCTGCTTTAGAGACTTCGATTGCCCTCTAGTGGAAGGAAAAGTTAATGCAGACTCCAAAGTTTCCATTTGAGAGAACCAGGAAAGGGAACTGGCCTTGGTACTGGAAACATCTGGGTCAGTGGCTAGCTTGGTATTTTTCCCCTTGTCTGACAGATTTCTTGCATTATTCATATAAGGTCACACATCCTGTGACCACAGAATAATGTGTGTTTTTCCAAAACCAAAGAGTTAGCTTGCAGGGGCTTGGGGTGGCCACGCCCAGAGCCGGCAGCCACCTTGGGGAGGCCACTGCACCAGCCTTAAGTGAGGAACCAGCTACTGGGGTCGGCGGGGTCCATGGTCAGTCCCATACCTTCGGAGTGAGAAACAACGGTGATTGATAAATCAGGATTTTTTTCTAAAGATGGTCTGGATTTACCAATGAGAAATATCCCCAATTAAATATGTAATTGATTCATCTTCCATTTACTTTTTAATTGTACAGGTTTAACTTAAAATTATTGTTGATAGCAACTACTGAATATTCACAGAATTCAGAAACTAATTTGATCCTAAATTATAGGGAGGAAAAGTATTTTATTGTGTGATTCAGCTTTCTGGCACGCTGAGAGCAAGTCTTGAATCGGAGTGAAATGCTGCATGCATATTGGGCCAAATGATAAAATGTTTATTCCAAATCTATCCATTACTAATGGGGAAAACCCTGCAGTAAGTAAGTGTTTTTAATGCAACAGATATGCCCTGCTAAAAATGTTAGTGACTAAGGGTGGAAGCAATTTTTCTAGCAATGAAAACACACCCCTCCCCCTTAGACTAGAATAATTCACTACAAACCTGTAAATCGCATCACAAAACCATTGTGAGTTTTGGCTAAACAAAATTCTAGATCTCAATATTACAAATCATCCCATCTTAATTTACTATTTAAAAATATACTGGACTTTCTTTCAGAGGATGTTAACACGCATACATGCATAGGCAAACAGCACCAGTGTATTAATTTATACTGTCACACGAGTGATCTGCATTGGCCAACAGGTCACACAATGCTTGCTGCAGGCTCAGCTTATTCACCTGATATACACACATACATACATACATGGGCAAAAGTAGGCTTACAGTAGTTGTTCATATGGAAAATAATACATTAATAAATAATAAAAGAATAACTGTTTTTGCTTACTCACAACTGTAAACCTATTTCTGTCCACCCCTGTATATATTTCTATATGATTAATTGATAAGCTAGTGCTATTCAATTCAATTTCATCCTGAAATCCTGACCAAACCCTGGTCTTCTCACTTCTATTACTTACCTACCCATGTAGAAGGTGCCCCTTCGTTAAGGAGGCGTGGGGAGTATTCTGTGAGCCTAGACTAGAGCAACCACGCTGCATACAGCAATTGCTCCTGAGTCAGGAAAGAGCACCCGCCCCGGCGATCGATCGATTATGCTTTGCAGCTGGAATGATTTCAAAGCCCAAGACTTTAATATCGCGGAGGTTGCGCCCCTTCGTGATTTGCAGACGCAGCGCGCTGATGGCAGAAGGACCAGATTTGGGTGGGGTTTTTACTAATGGCACACTGGCTACCATTTCCCCAACCACGTTTCTGTGTAGAATTGAGACTGTATCAAGAATCAGCAACGGGAAGAACAGATTTGGGGGGGGGGGAGTTAAGATTTTGTGCAAAACCTATATTTATGTGTGTATAGATGTCATCTTATGGACTACATGCCAGAGATCCTATCTCAGCGATCCGTGCGTCTTCCCACCGCCGCAGCCACAGTGCTCTGGGGAGAATGTTCCAGCAACCTCTAGCACACAGCCCTGCCTACCGCGAGCAAGCACCCGCGCACATATCCGACCCACAGGCACACACATCATCTCGAGAAAACCCGAAAACACGTTTTTCTAACGTAAAATGAGCAACGAGACAGAATTCCTTTTTGGGGTGGGGCGGGGGTTAGGGGTGGGGAAGGGAGGAGTAGGCGGAAGGAGAGTGAGTGCGACAAGGGTTCATCCCTTAACCCCAAATGCAGTCATTTCAAGGCTTTCTGGGACAAAGAAAAGGCCACGGAATTCATGAAATAATAATGACGATGATTTGAAATAACACGAACACGGACGAGCAGGGGTGTTAGCCGCATCCCTGCAGCAAAAGCGCTGGGCGCGGGAGCGAGCAGGGCCAACGTCCCCGCCCCCATCCTCAGACTCTCCGGGACAGGCAGGGGAGCCGGGGTTAGGGGCGGAGGGGGGCCAGCTCCAGGACAACTGGCCAAGCCACCCGGTCTTTCGGAGGGGCACCGCGGAGGCGAGCGCCCAGCTTCCGGGGCGGGGCGCGGCGGGGGCTCTGGGGGCGGCTTCTGCTACCGGCTGCTAGCCGCGCGCGCCCCCTCCCGGCGGCCGTGCGGTGCAGCCCCAGCCGGGAGGGGTGGGGCCGAGCCGCGCCCGGAGCCGGGTCCCTCCCAGGGAGACTGCCCGGGAGGGTCCCCACCCCGGGAAGCCGCGAGAGCAGAGCGTGGCCGTGGGCTTGGGCTGTGGAAAAGAGCCCCAGCTCCGTGGGCGGTGCGAGCCGAGGCGAGAAGCCCTCCCCGCACCCGCGGCCGGGGTCACCTCTGTGGTCTCCCACCAGTGGGTGGGGCCGCGCCTTTGTGTGGCCCTGCGGCTCCCGGCCCAGCCGGCGGGTGGCGGAGCCCAGGGAGGGGCCCCGGGAGCTCCAGGCGGTGGGGCGGGGAGAGGGGGCCCGAGGACTGCAGAGCCCCGACCGCCGCCCCCTTCCCCACCCGCCTCCCTCTCCAGCCAAGACGCAGCCCAAGTTCGTCCCGGCTCCCGGCCGGGGTGGGGCAAGGGCGGAGCTTCCCCGCACACCCGCTGCTTCTCTCCGCGCCTCCCCGCACCGGGTCCCCCGGGAGGGCAGCTTCCAGCCTCGGACCCCGGGCCCCTCCCTGGCTGTGCACCGGGGCCACCAAGCCCGGGAACCAGAGAGCGCGCCAGGCACGAGACCGCTGGAGAGGGAGGCCCTGGGTGCGTAGGCTCC